TGTAATGTAGACAGCTGATGTCTAATGTAGACAGCTGATGTGTAATGTAGACTTGCTGATGTGTAATGTAGACAGCTGATGTGTAATGTAGATAGCTGATGTGTAATGTAAACTGGCTGATGTGTAATGTAGACGGCTGATGTGTAATGTAGACAGCTGATGTGTAATGTAGACTTGCTAATGTGTAATGTAGACAGCTGATGTGTAATGTAGACAGCTGATGTGTAATGTAGACAGCTGATGTGTAATGTAGACTTGCTGATGTGTAATGTAGACTTGCTGATGTGTAATGTAGACTTGCTGATGTGTAATGTAGGCTTGCTGATGTGTAATGTAGGCTTGCTGATGTGTAATGTAGACAGCTGATGTGTAATGTAGACTTGCTGATGTGTAATGTAGACTTGCTGATGTGTAATGTAGACTTGCTGATGTGTAATGTAGACTTGCTGATGTGTAATGTAGACTTGCTGATGTGTAATGTAATGTAGACAGCTGATGTGTAATGTAATGTAGACAGCTGATGTGTAATGTAGACAGCTAATGTGCAATGTAGACTTGCTGATGTGTAATGTAGGCTGCTAATGTGTAATGTAATGTTGTGTAACGCGGGTAAATTCAGCTGAGTGATGTATAAGGTGCTACGATGGAGGTATAACGCAGAATGTTATGTCGGACAACAGACACGTAATGTCAGATGACAGACACGTGATGTCAGATGACAGACGAGTGATGTCATATGACAGACGGTAGAGTACAGTTGTAAGACCTGATCAAATTTGGCGCGTCTTGAGTAGACCAAGGCTGCAAACACACCACGATTACGTCACGTGTCACGTGTCAACCATCTGCTCACTCAAGTAAATCGTCGTTACGTCATAGTGCACTCAAAGGGTGGAGGGGGGAGGAGCCAAACTAGGTTATCGGATAATACTGTGTCGGGTTAAATTCTCCTGACATAGCAGGCTCAAACTCATAAAACGGTCTTTTTGTTCTCTTTGCGTCTGACAAAAACTAGATGGCTTAGTTTAATATTTGAAATAACAAATGTCTACTCTTTGAAATAACAAATGTCTACTCTTTGAAATAACAAATGTCTACTATTTGAAATAACAAATGTCTACTATTTGAAATGACAAATGTCTACTATTTGAAATGACAAATGTCTACTATTTGAAATGACAAATGTCTACTATTTGAAATGACAAATGTCTACTATTTGAAATAACAAATGTCTACTATTTGAAATGACAAATGTCTACTATTTGAAATGACAAATGTCTCCTATTTGAAATGACAAATGTCTACTATTTGAAATGACAAATGTCTACTATTTGAAATGACAAATGTCTACTATTTGAAATGACAAATGTCTACTCTTTGAAATGACAAATGTTTACTCTTTGAAATAACAAATGTCTACTATTTGAAATAACAAATGTCTACTCTTTAAAATAACAAATGTCTACTCTTTGAAATAGCAAATGTCTACTATTTGAAATAACAAATGTCTACTATTTGAAATAATAAATGTTTACTCTTTGAAATAACAAATGTCTACTATTTGAAATAACAAATGTCTACTCTTTGAAATAACAAATGTCTACTATTTGAAATGACAAATGTCTACTATTTGAAATAACAAATGTCTACTATTTGAAATAACAAATGTCTACTATTTGAAATAACAAATGTCTACTATTTGAAATAACAAATGTCTGCTATTTGAAATAACAAATGTCTACTATTGCGTTGTGAGCTATTGCCTGTGTTTATAAAAAAAATGGCAACCATTTTTTATCCCCCAAACAGAAAAAGGGGGGGGGGGGAATTCATTTTTATCTTCCATAATTTGCTTCTTTTATATGTTTGGTAAACTTGAGTTTTTGGGTAAGAATTTAAAATATGATATTCAAGTAAAGTTCAAAGCAACCGTCGTCTAGGTATCAATATCAGTTATCGTGTTCTGTGTTATCATTAGAGTTATCTTCTTACGATAAAATTAGATCATCTTGAGAACGATGCCCATTTCGACTTATTAAAATTTAATTTTTTAAACTGGCCATATATCCCGTTCCACATAAGGTCTGTGTTTACTAGCAAACTCATTAATCCAACTCATTAATCCAACTCATTAATCCAACTCATTAATCCAACTCATTAATCCAACTCATTAATCCAACTCATTAATCCAACTCATTAATCCAGCACCCGTCGACTTAAAACAATCCCATCATTAACAAAGACATTTTTTTGTCCTACATCCATGTCCTACCTAACATGTGTTTGTCCAAGATCTGTGTCCGAATATTGTCTTGGTCACCACTACTGGTTACATCATACGCCGGCCGCCATGGCCCCTCCCATTTCAGCCCCTCCCGCTAATTAAAATAATTTTCCAATGGCCTTGAATTTAATTTTATGCCAATATCCGCCATGTACCCCCCCCCAGCCGTTGCAATATTTGAAAATATCACACGTTCCCCTAACACCAGAGCTCCGCGTTCACCCCCCTCCCCCCTCTTCTGGCAATCTCACTCACGCCCCTTGACCACACCCCCATCCCATCACCCCCCCCCCTTATTACACGCCTGACAATTTACGGGGTGCAGATGTGAAGGACACCAAGCCCTCCACGATCTATCTTTTAACGCACTCGCCGCCGCCTCAAGCAACGTACTTCTCTTCCATACCACACCCATCTCAACCACATCTTTTTCGTCTACCCCTGTTAGCTTTACCTACAGACCATCGGATGGTCAAACCATTGTTACAGCCGGACTAGAGTTCCTATACCCACATGATTGTGCCCTGTAGGACTGGACGGATGGTGCCGGCAGTTGGGTGTAGCCTCCCGTCTAAACTTTATATCTCAACATTTGTAGTATATGTGAGCTTAGGTCTTGTGTATAACGTGAGCTTAAAACTTGAGTTTAAGCTTTGATACATTTAATGTCGTGAAACATTTGAACCAATGAAAAGCTTGGCACGACCTTCCATATTTGAACGACCGGTCAATTTTTCGCCCACTACGTCAGCTGGTGAAAGCCTGCGGTCCCTAATAGCCTAGGTAAAACGGTCGACACGTGACCATCGTGAGCCAACGGACAGAATGGAAATAACATGCTGAGCTAAATGTGAAAAGTAAAAAAAAAATTAAAAACAAAATTGATCAGTTTTAAAATAAATGAAGATAAGGCGCTAAAAGGAAGAAAAAAAATCAATTTTCTTTTTCTCCCCCCCCCTCCCTCCCCTCCTCCCTCCCCACCTTCGACATGCAGCTTAAGAGAGAAAAAACTGAAAGAAAATTAATTCTTAACGAGGGAACGCGCCGATATGCTCTCTCTACATGCCTTCAAGGGGGTGGGGGTGGGAGGGGGACAAAATAAAGGCAGAGGAGAAAATATCTGTCTTAAGGGGGGTGGGGAGGGGGTGGGCGGGGGCATGGAGTGACAGATTTCTATTAAACTGTGGCCGTGGGCAAAGGAACAACCAGATATGAGGTCACATGGCGTTGGGTGTATGTGGGGGGGGGGGGGGGGGTGGGTGGGGGGGGGGGTGGGGGTGTATGTAGGTGATGGCGTGCTGACCACCACACCGTGGTAACGATACACAAAAAAGCCGTGTTACAGACATGTTCTGGTCAGCTAGAAGTCCATTGGGCGGACTTTTTTTTTTGACCACGTAGTGTAAAGCCGGTCATCGCTGAACTGTGTACCCATTAGAGCTGATGAAACCCTGGGACCAGGCACTGATTAAAGGGTTCAAACACTCTCCTTTAAATTGGTGGCTGCGCGCCCTATCCCCCAACCACACAAACACTGAATATGATTGGTCATTGGCTCCAGGTTAACAATCTAACTATATGCTGCACATCACTACAACATATGCAACAGCATGCTTATATGTATATATATATATATATATATATATATATATATATATATATATATACATGGTCGAGATACTGGTAGGGTAAGGGTTGGGCAAGCAAACCTGTGAGCAGGTAACCTAACTGCTGCTGTGTTCACGTGCACATGTAAGGCCGTTAACGCGGAAACATGTCACCATATTTTCTAAACAACAAGCAGGTACACACAGGTCAACACGGCAGGTATACACAGGTCAACACGGCAGGTACACACAGGTCAACACGGCGGGTAGTAAATACACGAAAGTCGAGGGGGCTCAAAATGTCCTAACTACAGACTAGTCTAATACCCCATCAACCTAATTAACTAATAACAACACAGGGAATAATATAGGTCACCAAAAACCTATTCTTAGCTCACTCTAATAACAGTAAACATTGACAAATGTGATGACATAATCGCTAACCGACACCCCTACCCTAACAGATGTAGCTAGCTCAACCTGTGTACACCGCTGTGTTAGTGTACGCTTCGTGTAACACGCCAACTGTACGTCATGCGCAGACCTACACACGTCTACAGCATTACAGCCGCTATCGGGCGGGTAAGGACAATACATGACACGATAGTAGCGGCTTAGCGAGGCAACAATAGAACAAACACAGGCTATCTCAAGACAACTTTTTCAAATATCTATAGGATAAGACGACTTTTTTTCAAATATCTATAGGATAAGACGACTTTTTTCAAATATCCTTTGGATAAGACAACTTTTTATTTCAAATATCCTTAGGATAAACGTTTAAATAGTTAACTGAGAATAAAGTAAGTCAAATGTAGGTTAGACTGTGGGTCAGACTTGGTGCATTACGCCGCGGTTTAAAAAATTGACGTCTAACACACTGAGCATTGTGTGTACACACACTCGCTTTTCAAAATAAACACTCACACACACTCACACACTCAAATGACTATCTCACACAATCACACAATCACACATACACATACTACCTCTATCAATGACTATAGTTACGTGGTCAAATGATATAAAAAAAACTTATCCCACATCCGAGTAAAAAAATGTCAACACAAAAAACGTTGGCCTCAAAAAGTAAGAAAAAGTATATTTACACTAAATCCACCAACGAAAGGGTTGGTTAAAAATATCGGCATCCTATAGAAGGCTGGTACTCCTGCATCACACGGGCAAGATTTTTTTTAACTCGACCAAATAAAAAAACTGAATCGTTTTAAAGCGCTCCACAAAAAGAGGAAGCCCGAGCGACGAACGAGCCTCGAGTGCGGGGAGGGGATTTCTCTAGGCAGGTTGAAAAAAAAATCCCACATTCGCATGCAGCCCCCCCCCCCCCCCCCACATACAACGCAAATAGATTCACCTAGCCCTCTTTTTTTCAACCCCTCCTCTCCTGCAGTTGGCAGAGATCATAAAAAAGCAGAATAAAAAAAAATGCGTGCAATGTCGCGGCGACCCAGACCTAAAAAATATTTCTTCTAACTGCGCGCGCCTCTCGCCGCCTCTCGCCGCCTCTCACCCGGCCTGCATCATGAGCCCTCGCTCGTTGGCTCGTTTGTCTACGGCGCTGTACCGCACGAGGTTATTCACTTCTCTTCCTCGTCTACCAGGGCGAACAACTCACACCACATACCTAAATGGGCCAGCGACAACAACTCACAACTCTCAATGACGCAACACTTCAGTCGAACCGTGACTTCTTCATTAAAAAAAAACCGCAAGACAAAAAATTGGTCATATTTTTTACCCTCAACCTTTTAAAAAAGGTTTCACGACCGTAGAAAAAAACTGAGAGTTGTAACTGTCAGTGTTAATGCCCTTGTTTCTCTGATTTTCTCCCCTTGTTGTTGACGGTAAACTACGACCGATGGCTAAAGTATCTCAGTGTTAGGCCCAGTGTAGATTGTCTGATAAGCTGTAATCGTGTGTGCGAGAAGGGTGAGAAGGGGGCGGGGACACGAGAGATGAATAAAATTAAGTCATGTAAGTAGTTGGCCATTGTTGTTGTGTAAGGGAGTAATGGAATCACGTGATTTCACACTCAACAAGGGTCACCTAGCCAACCTACCCGTCACTTAGCCCAAGATAAAGTGAAACGAAACAGCAGGCCATTAAAACTGACCAACACGCTCATGTGACGTGAAAGGTCCGATTCCCACTGACCAGTGGTCCAGCAATCTAAGGTCATAGTTCAGAGGTCGCGACGACCGTCACCGCTCAGTACCGCTCGAGTCAGTGGGCGGACCGGTCAGCTGGCCGAAGACTGGTTGACCGCGAGGTCACTGCGACCTGTGCCTGTCCTCGGATAACCCAAAAATGGACGGCACCTCACACGTCACACGGACGTGAAAAACGCAGCGTTTAAAAATTAATTACAGGCAAATCTCGCGCCCGATCCTCTTCAATACAATAAAACATGGTCTAAACACGGCTAAAACATGGGCTAAAACATGGTCTAAAACATGGGCTAAAGCATGGGCTAAAGCATGGGCTAAAACATGGGCTAAAGCATGGGCTAAAGCATGGGCTAAAACATGAGCTAAAGCATGGGCTAAAACATAGGCTAAAGCATGGGCTAAAACGTGGGCTAAACATGGGCTAAAACATGGGCTAAAACATGGGCTAAAACATGGGCTAAAACATGGGCTAAAACATGGGCTAAAGCATGGGCTAAAGCATGGGCTATAACATGGGCTATAACATGGGACCTCACTGTCACTAAGTAGGTTCCAAGTTCACCAAACTCAGTGGGGTGGGGGATCTTTGTTGTAATGGTGCTGAAAGGACATTATCCAAGTGAGTGGTTAGCATGTGTATGTTTTACAGCTTATAAGACACGAGAATATTCTCGCTAAACTGGAAACTTATTGAAACTTATTGAAACTTATTGACTAGTGTATTCTGTCGGTGGGGTCTTGTCGCAATAGTGGGTTCAGTGGTAGAGCGGTACACGGCATCCGTCAGTGGTAGAGCGGTACACGGCATCCGTCAGTGGTAGAACGTACGCCACCCATCAGTGGTAGACACGGCACCCCTCAACAGTCAACACCCCGACCCTCAACACCCCGGCCATACCCACCGCCATATGAAGCATGACATCTGTTGCTGGAGTGACGTAAGAATGTCAGGTCATGTCAGACTATGACACGTGACACTGACACCACAAACTTGCGGATGGTCAAATGTCATTCGACTGATAAACCAGAGGTAACCCTCTCGCCTGAAACCTGTCAATGAATGAATGCCGCATTAAAGCGCACATAACATTTGGACGAGTTCAGAACTAACCTCAGCTTCGTGTGGGGGTCGAGATTTGTTTTTATACTCGGGCAGTGAGGGGAATCTTGAGAAGTTTTGGGTTACCAACACAGGATGGGCACAGCGACAACAACAGCAACAACAACAGCAACAACAACAATAGCAACAGCAATAATAACAACAGCACTAAACAACAGCGTTAAACAACAACAATAATAATAGCAACAACAGCAGCAGCACCAACAATCGCAAGGTAAATCAGTTGAATGCCCTATGTGTAAACACTTCACCCCCCGGAACTATTTTTTCTACCCCCCCCCCCCCCCCCACAGTCGCACACTTTCTGTTGACACGTTTTTTTCCTGCTTTATCTCTGAGTACCTGGAGACTTTATGGCTAAACAAACATGGCACACATTTTTTGTGTCATTTAGTTCTGTTGTGGCGGGTGTCTTTGTGTGGGGGATGTGGGGTGGTGTAATTTAGTGTTTGATTTTAGTGTGGGGGCGTAGTTTAGTGTTTGATTTTAGTGTGGGGGTGTAATGTAGTGTTTGATTTTAGTGTGGGGGATGTGTGGTGGTGTAATTTAGTGTTTGATTTTAGTGTGGGGGATGTGTGTGTGTAATTTAGTGTTTTATTTTAGTGTGGGGTGTAATTTAGTGTTTGATACTTAGTGTGGGGGCGTAGTTTAGTGTTTGATTTTAGTGTGTGTGTGGGGGTGGTGTGGGGGGTGTGGGGGGGGGTGTAATAAATTCTGGTTATGCGGAAGACTTTATATGGGGGGGGGGGTGTAATTTCGTGTTTGATTTTAGTGTGTGATGTGGGTGGGGGTGTAATTTTATGTTTGATTTTAGTGTGTGTGTGTGTGATTGGGGGGGGGGGGGGGGTTGTGGTGTAATTTAGTTCTTATGTGGCGTTAGTCAAGACTTGTGTGGGGCGGGGGGGGGGGGGGGGTCTATGGCGCCACATACTTTATCAAAGTTTTATTTTCTGACATTAATGTGATGCTTTTGTGTTTGTGGATTTAGACAATACAAATGACACCAATCTAACAGTGTAGTGTGTCAGTGTGTATCGATGTAGCAGTTTCACACCTGTCGTGTATCACCAGTATTCTGGCAGTAAGGGTCACACGGCAGGTATTCACGCCCTCGCCGCTGATCGGATCTAACTAGGTACAGGGGCGGAGGAAGGTCACGAGTCTACACATCGCGACTAAATTACACATCGTGACTAAGTTATACATCGTGACTAAATTACGCATCGTCTAGTCATGTAATATAACAATATCAGTTGATAAATTAGGCCATATGTACCAACGGTGTGACATACATTTATCTGGACATCCGCATCATTATGTTAATGTATGTGCATGTATCAGTGGAGGATTACGTTGTAGCTTTAGGAATTGTTTTAATGGGGGGGGGGGGGATAACGCAGCGACCAAATGGTCCACTGGATAATCCATGTCCCGGACGTCTAGAGTAGGTCGAACCTCCCAGGATGGAACATCAAGACAACATTCGCCTCGTCTTTCTGTTGTTGGTCAACATCAAGACAACATTCGTCTCGTCTTTCTGTTGTTGGTCAACATCAAGACAACATTCGCCTCGTCTTTTCTGTTGTCGGTCAACATCAAGACAACATTCGCCTCGTCTTTCTGTTGTTGGTCAACATCAAGACAACATTCGCCTCGTCTTTCTGTTGTTGGTCAACATCAAGGACAACATTCGTCTCGTCTTTCTGTTGTTGGTCAACATCAAGACAACATTCGCCTCGTCTTTCTGTTGTTGGTCAACATCAAGACAACATTCGCCTCGTCTTTCTGTTGTTGGTCAACATCAAGACAACATTCGCCTCGTCTTTCTGTTGTTGGTCAACATCAAGACATTCGCCTCGGTCTTTCTGTTGTTGGTCAACATCAAGACAACATTCGCCTCGTCTTTCTGTTGTTGGTCAACATCAAGACATTCGCCTCGTCTTTCTGTTGTTGGTCAACATCAAGACAACATTCGCCTCGTCTTTCTGTTGTTGGTCAACATCAAGACAACATTCGCCTCGTCTTTCTGTTGTTGGTCAACATCAAGACAACATTCGCCTCGTCTTTCTTTTGTTGGTCAACATCAAGACAACATTCGCCTCGTCTTTCTGTTGTTGGTCAACATCAAGACAACATTCGCCTCGTCTTTCTGTTGTTGGTCAACATCAAGACATTCGCCTCGTCTTTCTGTTGTTGGTCAACATCAAGACAACATTCGCCTCGTCTTTCTGTTGTTGGTCAACATCAAGACATTCGCCTCGTCTTTCTGTTGTTGGTCAACATCAAGACAACATTCGCCTCGTCTTTCTGTTGTTGGTCAACATCAAGACAACATTCGCCTCGTCTTTCTGTTGTTGGTCAACATCAAGACAACATTCGCCTCGTCTTTCTGTTGTTGGTCAACATCAAGACAACATTCGCCTCGTCTTTCTGTTGTTGGTCAACATCAAGACAACATTCGCCTCGTCTTTCTGTTGTTGGTCAACATCAAGACAACATTCGCCTCGTCTTTCTGTTGTTGGTCAACATCAAGACAACATTCGCCTCGTCTTTCTGTTGTTGGTCAACATCAAGACAACATTCGCCTCGTCTTTCTGTTGTTGGTCAACATCAAGACATTCGCCTCGTCTTTCTGTTGTTGGTCAACATCAAGACAACATTCGCCTCGTCTTTCTGTTGTTGGTCAACATCAAGACATTCGCCTCGTCTTTCTGTTGTTGGTCAACATCAAGACAACATTCGCCTCGTCTTTCTGTTGTTGGTCAACATCAAGACAACATTCGCCTCGTCTTTCTGTTGTTGGTCAACATCAAGACAACATTCGCCTCGTCTTTCTGTTGTTGGTCAACATCAAGACAACATTCGCCTCGTCTTTCTGTTGTTGGTCAACATCAAGACAACATTCGCCTCGTCTTTCTGTTGTCGATCAAGACCT